ACAGATAAGCACAAAATCAACTACCAATCTGCAATCAAAATTCAACACTTCAAAATAGAGCAAATAATTCCTAAATTTTTTAGCACAAGCAATGGTTGCCAAATAATAACAACCCCCAATCCTATTGATCACCCCGCACGATAATCTGCTAGTACGATAATGTTAAAGTTTCAGCCAATTTACCAGAGCGGACCAATCCGAATCCGTAAATTATGAGACGCTCGAATTTAACACTTTAGGATCACCATTATTAGTCCTAAAGTCTCTGAAAACTGCAGCAACCAAAAAATCATGATTGAGTCTCGAACGCCCGAAGAACAACGCTGTCCAGATTCTTCTGTAGGCCTTGAAACAAAAAACTTTCAACACGAAAAATGTTAGAAATAATGCAAAGAACAAACTGCCTGGAGAGATCATTGCCAAAAAGGCTCCACGCACCCACATGCACCATCACTCTCTTTGGCGTGGGCTTCACGCATCGCCCTGCAGGGTTCTCCTTCACCTGCACATCATGTCGGTGGTCTCTATTTCCCAAAAATCCTTTTGGATTGATCAGAAAATGCGAAAAACGGAGATTGATTTTGACAGTTTTTTCGATCTGATTTCTGGACGATTTTTTGCTATATTTCAAGAGCCAAAACCACCACCTTGAAGCTCTGATACCAAATGTTACGGAAGCTCTCTTGAAAGATATTCAAATCGATGATTTTCGAACTCAATCCAACGTACCTTTCTCTACCAACAACCAATCTAATCGGCTCCAAATCACAACCAATTAACTCATCTCGGTTGCTATTCAATCTTACCCACGTAGGACAAGAAAAGATGATGATTTGTGGCCACAAAGACTAGGAGAAGATACCACAAAGTTATACTATGAAAGAACTACCAATTGCACACGTTACACAAGCGTTTTGAACACTTCTAGAGATCTTTTTTTCACACATGAAGGGGCAGCCGAGATTCCTCTATTTTTTTCACAAAACATCACAAGAAAGTGGCTAGGGTTATAGTCATATATATACTCTAGGGTTAGGATTTAAGTTGGACCTTTAAAGAGGTAAACGGACCAAGATTTAAGCCATCCAAGAGGAAATATAATTGAGTCGGATGTAGCTCATGGACTTGGTTGTTGGACTTATTTAATTCATCGGCCTATGCCTATAAAATAATATTAACCCACGTTAACATCATAGTCGAGGATTTATTGGGTATCAAAAACCCAACAAAAGTTTTCACATAACGCTATTCTCTAAGAAAAGGATTCCTTTGCAAGGAGTCGAGTCTTGAAATCGAACCTAATGGCAAAGAAAATGAACTATTTTCTTTGGTACTGCTTCTGAGAAAGAAACAAGAGAAAGTTAAAAATCTAATTTAGAAATACATTTTAACACTCGGAGAAGAAAGAAATTAAAAAAAAATAAAAAAATCTTACTATCTTGGCCTAATATTTCAACGGCTTTCTCGAATAAATCATGCATTTCTTTGGTCCACACCACCCTTGGTTTCTTTTTCATGGAGGAATTATCTTTCCCACGTTGAGTTTATTCAACTTTATTTCTATCTTCTTCTCTCTTTCGTTTATGATGATCTCGTAATGATTCACTAATTGATGGTGACTTAGTCTCTTCGGATGACATAATGTCTCTCGAGAATTCCCTTTTACCATCATTTTGTCACTTTCTCGAATACAATTTGCCAAAGTTTGATTTAATTTATCCTTGCTAAATGAGTTCACAAGAAGAATGCAAATTTCCTTGCTTCCATTAGATTGACTAGATTTTTCATCGGGGCACTTTCATGGTGCCCATTCTTGAAAATTAATGATAATTGTGAAGAAAATCTCTTAAAATCTGAGATTTTTTTTAACACATACCTCTAATTGTTATGTTTTAAAACTTAAAACATTTGGATCGATCTTGAGAAAAACACTAAATAAACTGCAGAAATCAAAGAAAATCAACACAGGATATGTTTTGCCCTTTTAAAAGGGTCCGGTGTTCGATTTTGCAACCTAATCACCCGTTGAGCATCTTTCACGAGATTAAGCTCTAGATCCATTAATAACGAACAAGAACAACATACAAATGTACGAAGAAATTGGAAATTTCTTCGAGTTTATCTTGCCTCTTGACACAACAACAACAACATTGCTATCACTCTCACAGATTGCACAAAACAACCATTTCTCTTCACAAAGATCAGAATAATATCAATCACAAAGATCGATTTCATCTAACATGGCCAAACCCTAATTTTCACTCAGAAACCAAGGACAGAGAGAACGACAGAGAGTAAGATGAAGAGACTACACAACAGAAGTCTCTAGAATGAATAATTGAAAAAAGGCTAAGACCCTTAAGTATCCGTATCCATCCAATAATCAGAGGGCAGAGATTTAGCCGCGTGTAAGGCTAAAATTAATTTTTGAAGAGGCGTTTTTTTTATCAAAACACGATTTCATTAAACTTGAAATTACCACAGCAACCCGATGGAACATTTGGCCCAATAACAGAGGCCCACAAAGTCAAGAATCATGTGAGGCAGCCCACAAACACTTAACACTAATAAATGCTCTTAATAGCACAAACGTGACCATATATTCTTGGAATGAAAACTTTGTTGTATAGGCGAAAATTTTGTATGGTAATAAGAGCAAGTGCACGACATGATTAATTTAAGGATGTATCGGAATATATTTATGTATATTAAATCACGTGTATTAATGTCAATTTATATTATTCAGTATATGTTAATTATTTTTCCTTATTTGGTACATTTCATTTTTATGAAAATATTATTTATAATTCAATCACAATTACTATAATTCATTAAAACTTTACCAAATTCTAATCATCCATGTGCCGGATAATGCCTCAAGGAATATACACTTTGTCAAGTATGTGTGTCTATGTCTAAATATCGACCACATTATAATCTTAAACATAGTGGTAGTAATCCGAATTATCATATTAAGGATATGATGATTCAAAGGCTGCCATTATGTATAATGCGATCATCATTTTGGTACTCGAGAATTCATTTCAGTATTCAGTATATGTTAATTATTTTTCCTTATTTGGTACATTTCATTTTTATGAAAATATTATTTATAATTCAATCACAATTACTTTAATTCATTAAAACTTTACCAAATACTAATCATCCATGTACCGGGTAATGCCTCAAGGAATATACACTTTGTCAAGTATGTGTGTCTAATTCTAAATATTGACCATATTATAATCTTATGTACTAATGTCTCAAAGACATAACTAATGAAACGAGGTACATGTAAACATAGTGGTAGTACTCCTAATTATCATATTAAGGATATGACGATTCAAAGGCTGCCATTATGTATAATGCGATCATCATTTTGGTACTCGAGAATTCATTTCAGGCTTCTGAAAAATATGAGTATACATAATTCTTTAATGAGATGGTGAATGTTCTTTTTAAGCATTCAATCTTTGATACTAATGAATTTAATAATACGTTTAATGCATTATCGTACTTGTGATTGGACCACAAATATTTTATCCATTTAAGAAAATACAACAAATATAAGGGAAAAAAATTATTGGAAGGATAAAACATTTTTAAACAATTTGAATTTTAGCATACGATCTATTTAGATTAATATGCATAAATAAACCTGCACAAATATCTTGAATTAATTATGCCATACATTTTCAGCAAAAGCAATTTTGTTGACAATACAACAAAACCAAGTCAAGGACCAGTTTGCAATATTCCCAAGAACCTGAAAATTCAGGGACTAATTTGAAGTATCAAAACGATCCAAGGACAAATTTGTATCTACCTGGAAAAGTCAAGGACAGAATCGTAACAAAAGGAAAATGCAGGAGCAAGAATATGGTGATCAGAATAAAGAGTTTTGATAGAGGAAGAAAAACCAACTTGTCCAAAATTTTGCAATTCTACTAGCGAGTAGTTCATTGGATTGAGATTGGCAAATGATCTAAAATTGACCGTAATCAGAAATATTAATTTTCGATTCAAGAACTACTGAACATGAATTTAACGTCTTTCAACCAGTAACATTCATTGGAATTCAACGTTTTTCGACTACATTTTCAAACAACATTCTCCAATAATGAATCCTCCCTGCGATATTCAACATCCCACCCACACATGAGAAATCAGCCCCATACACAAATGCTGCAAGAATTAACTAATTTTGTCAATGAAGGGAAGGTGGGCAGTATGTATATATATGAAGAAATTAAAATTGAGTAATGCCATGATCTCAATATTAATTTCATATGTTGTCCAGAAATATTCATATTCAAGAACCAATATTATAATTATTCTTCTTCATATTCTGTGTTTAAAATTTCATGCACCATTATCTTCAATTAATGAAATGTGTAGATTCATGGTTTATTTACATACTTTATATAATTAAAATATATTCATTTGTTTTAGATAAATTAATGTTCACTTAATTAGATACAATAAGAATACATTTGTATTATTAAATATTATAATTCAATATAAATAGGATTTTCGTAATTAAAAGTGAGAATTGTTGTAAAATTAATAGAGATATGGGAAAATTCCACAGAAGTTTATCGAACTTGCTGGTTTATTTTATGTTGGTCAACTAACTTCAATTAATTTCAATTTGATCATCAACTTTGGTCAATAATCTGAGCTTCTTCCACTTAATTTATCAAAACAAACAAGAACTCACGAAAACACAATTTTTACACGATTCAGTCCTCAAATATCTATGTTCACAGGCGATGCACGCTTGCATGGATTTGTCAAGATGGTCAAGAAAGAAAATTACAGTCCCAAAATTGATGCAGTGGACTCGAGAGAAGAACCAGTGTTGGGAATCCCGAGCTTAGACAGTCCATCACATTTCAATTTTCAACACCCGTAGTGGAGTATAAACAGAGGGATTCGAGTCCATAGCCAAAGAATCATGCTAAGGAACTCGAACTCTGCTGAGTGAAGTTTATGTTGAATTTATAAGATTTGTAAGCTAATATTTTAATTCTGGAAAACATATTTACATTTAACACGAGTATTGATACCAAGAGCTGGAAAGGAAATCTTCATTTACAGACAAATTCAGGTTTATGACAAAATAAGTTACGTTTCTACTGCCTAGTCAAATAAAAGCCTACGCCTTACGGACTTGGATAATCTTGTGCTTGGCTCTTTCCTTTTTCCTTCAGAGGAGCCAAGATCATTCTCCTCCAGTGTGTTTTCGCAAAGGACTTTCGAGGAACGATAAAATTCAGTAATGCTAAGCTGCACATTTTGAGATGTGGATGATTCTGAGTTTTTGGGTGTCCCTTCAGACCTTAAGCTGGATTTCTTCTTTCTTGATTTCCTTTCTTTCAGTTCCTGGTGGCCCATTTTACATAATTATTATGAGAGTAACAGAAATCCTGTTTTCCTTTTCTTTTATGAAAGAGGGGGAGAGAGAGAATTGCTCACCTTTTCTTTTAAGAATTGGTCGACCTTTTCTGGAAAGGCATTTCGGACAAGCTCCATATCTTCATCTGTGGACAGAAAACAGCACCCATCATTGATGCAAACAACGGGCACATCAGGTTCTTCTAGCAAATCATTAGATTCATCAGGTTCTTCAGATCCCTGCAGTCTATCAGGCTCTTCGGGAATTACAGACATGGCATCACTCAATGCGTTAACAGCTTTCTTCCACTTAACCACGTAGAACTGAAGCCCAAGTCTTATTTTCACACGCTGGATACTGTGGAACTCATAGTGTCCATATAACAAGTCATTTGTCGGACTTGATGCCATATCTCGCAAATAGATAGTTGATAACATGGGAAGCATTCTTTGCCGAATATAAGATGGCTCCCAATGCTGCTGATAAGTGAGATAATCAACCAGCATTTCAGTCTTTGGGCTTGCCCACTCTATACATGGATCATCATCTGCCACAACACGGACCCAGAAGATTAATAAGTGGCTGCTGAAACAGCAAAAATCCAGTAACAAAAATATGAACAATTTAAAGACACTAAGCAATACCCTAGAAAGAAAAGCAAAAACTGTAATTGTGCTGAGCTCATGATAAAGAAGAGCAGCGCAGATCACCAGACCCCAGTACATCACCAATGTCTTCAGGATACATGGCGATAATTTCATCTATTTCTCTCTCAACATGCATAATACACATATATGAGACTATAAAGTTTATTTGCCAATTTTCCTTTTTCTTCCGTTCTTTTTCTTTCTTGTCCTGGCATTGAAAACCATGCTTAAAGTTAAAAAAAATTTCATACCAGTTCCATGGTGGTTGCTCAGGTACATCTGAATAATTTCATCGTTTGGAAAATTTTTCTCCAATGCAATCTTTCTACAAACATTTATTTGCCAATTCTCCTTTTTCTTCCGTTCTTTTTCTTTCTTTTCCTGGCATCGAAAACCATGCTTAAAGTTAAAAAAACAAAAGCACAGAAATCTAAAATCAAATACCAAAAGAATTAAGTATGCAGAACTAAAAAACTCTTGAAACAGAGATGGGAAAGACAGTTAAAAGGTAGACCAAATCACACGACAAGCAATCACATTTGAATCCAACGAATTTCTGCTTGCAACTTTGGCCAGCAGTTGAACCACAATATTCACAAGAAAACTTCAGATGAGATATCTTGCTGCCTGGATGCCCACAGTGGGAACAATGAGAAGATTTTGTCTTTGGTAAATTCTCATCAGAACTACGTAAAACTTCAGAGTCGATACTTCCCTGGATCACCAGTGCACCTCCTCTGCCTATTTCATGTAACCTGAGTAGCATTGTAATAAATTTACTTATGATAGAGTTGCTTATTGAGAACCAACATTTTCGTACAGCCTATAGCCCCAAAAATTTAAGAAAAATATGACACGCATGCTCAAGGGATATAAATCACATACCTATTCAATATTTCATCTTCACTGAAACATTTGACAAAACGAAGAGCTGTATCAATCCCAATGCCCGCAACACCACTTAAATCATGATCGCTTCCAACCAACAGAGAAATAGCTATCAAATGATTTCTCGTAAGTCCAAGACCAGCCTCAATATCAGATATATGGTAGCATTCAAATGGTTCCTGAGCAAGATAGATAGTCACATCCTTGCAAGGGCATAAGAGAATGGAGAATTTCTCAACTTAATCAAAGAGACAAGTATAATACAGGAAAAAGAGAGATAAATACCGTAAAATTTGTGTAAAAAACATTGATACAAGATGAAAATCACGTTTATTTTGTGTATTGACGTGATATATCCCAACTGATAAAAGTACTAATCCAACTAGGGCCAAGAAAAAAAAAAAAA